TATTGAACTCACTATAAACTCGTGATTTATGATTATATTGAATTTTTTTTCATATACGGAATGATATGTGTACTCAGTATTGTTTAAATTATCATAGATATTGAATGTTTTACAAATATATTAACTACTATTCAAATGAGAATGAAATAATTATTATTAGATATTAATTTTTATAATATACATGCATGTGTATGTTCGGCTATGATGGATTGACCCATTTATGTTATTACTAGGGGAACATTAAGATATATGTGCACGTAAATAAAACATTTTTGATATTGATGTGTCTTCATTGGCATAATTTTAGACGATGCTCCTGTCACGACTCGACCCCGGTGCTTGGAATTAACTAAGGCAGTTACAAATGATCGAATGGTGAGAAAAAAAATTCTATATTCATTTTCTATAACTAACATTTATTAAATGAAAGAACTCCTAAAAAAATTAAATTAAAACAGTAAAATTAAATTTATCTCATTACAAGTTGTCCATAACTTCTATAAATATTTTCTCTTTTATTGCTCATTTTTAATCAATTAATTACACATGAATAGTTAATTTAAAACAATAGTAAGCTGCCCAAAACAGTGAATAAGCACACTCATAAACTACAAAATACAAGGAAAATAAAATAATATGCATGTTAGCTAAGTTTTAATAAATTAGTTTAATAGATTTGATGGTCTATAAATAAGAACTTTACGATGTTTTATGTTATTCCATGTATTTTACTATTTCAATAGCATATTTATATCATTTTATGTCTGTACAACTGTCACAGAAGCATCGTCTAAAATTTGTATTAGTTAAGACACTTCAATCAATATCATTTTCCATTTATATGCACGAAAACCTTAGTGTTTTCCCGCTAGTAAGGAGTGACTCAATTATAGTCAAGCATGCAAATACAAAAATACTATAATAAATATAATCTAGTAATAATCATTTCATTCTCATTTGCATAACAATCAATATACTTGTATACAAATCAATATTTATGATAATTTAAATAATATTTAGTATACATGTTACTCTAATAATATAAATAAAATTCAATAGAGCTATAAATCATAAGTATGCAGTTCTATAAATGTAACAATAACAATACATCTTATAAATATAAATAGAAGCACAATATTACTGTAGTAAGAAAATATGAGTACTCGCCTCAAAATCGTATCACATCTTAAATTTTCAAACACACATAACTTTATTTCCAATACAGCTTCCTATAATATAATAAAGAATAAAATTTTAAACAAATCATTAATTATGTTTAATCAATATTCTAATTAATTGTTATTTTAATTGTTGATTAAAAAACTTTATTTCAAGTATTCAGGTTACTTTAATTTGATTATCAAAACAATAACTAACTTAACATTTATAATTTGTATTTTTAGTTAATATTCAATTAATGTCTTCTCTAATTTAAATAAAAGTAAAATTATTTTCATATTTCGATAAAATCTTTTATTCTATTATTATCATTATAAATTATATTATTACATATATATAAATTTAATAAATTATATTATTTTAATTAAGATTTTAAAACTTAAACTTTAAATTTAATCATTGCATTTAATATAAAATATTATTAATTTATACAAAATACTTTTAGAAATAAAACTCTAAGCTTTCTTGTTGTCTTCAATCTTTCCTCGATCCAAAAGTGATACTTTTAAAGCTTGAATCAAATGCGCTTAAATTTAACATTTGAATAACAAACATATATATATACACACACACACACACACACACACACATATATAATTTTTATTAAAAATTTTAATTAAAATATTAAAAACTCACCTTTAAATTTCGGTTAAGAGTCCTAATCCAAGCAAGAAACCTCGTCTTCCTCCACTGCACGAGAGATCAGGCTCTTACCTGCACCCACAAGAGCTCCTTTCTCTCTTCTTTCGCACCAGAGCCGCTTGATGCCTCTTCCTTCAGCTTCATCATCCTCGTTGAGCCCTAGGGTCACACATCCTCTGCTCGACGACGTCGTAGTCAGTTGTCAAAGCCCTCAAGATTTCAATTGGAATCGAATCTCCATTAAGATACCACTCGACTTCTCCTTAGTCTCTCCCACTCTCAATCTTGCCTCTGCCTCCATTCGCATCACATTAAAGGACAAAAGTACCCTTTCATGTCCCTGCATGCTCACTTCCTCTCCCTCTCTTTTAGTCTCTCAGGGAGACGAAACGAGGCATCACAACTCTTGTGACGATTGTACAACCATAAAATGATATAAACATATTAATGATATGGTAAAACGCATTGAATGTTATGAACTATCATGAAAAATAGCATCTAAAACAATAAATTATCTACTATTTTAATATTGATTTTGTATTTCTAACTAGTATGCATGTTGTGCTCTTTTTATTATATTATTGTAATTTAAAAGTACGTGTATTCACCATCTTTAGTTAGCTCACTGTTGTTTTAAACAAACATTTTAGATTTAATAAATTGATTAAAAGATGGGCGATAGAAGAGAAAATATTTATAGAAAACGCGAACAACTTGAATTAAGATAAATTTATAACAGCTTTAATTTAATCTCTTTTCTGTAGAGGCTCTTTTATTTGTTAAATATTAATTATAGAAAATAAATATAGAAAAATTTATTTTTTCACCGTCCGACGGTCTATGCCAGTCTTTTATTAATTGTAAGTTCCGGGTTGGGTCGTGACAATTATCGTAAAAAAATCAACATATTTGTCATAAAATTGTTAAACATAGATCTAATCAAATTTGGTTCAATTTCTACAAATTGATCTTAGTTCTTAAAAATCAAATAATAATTTTATCAATGTCATAAATATAATTGTTTTGAAGTTTAAATGATTAATGAACAACTTAAGCTTTCATCCAAATCAAATGACAATGAAATGTATTGTAGTACTCAAGGAAATACCTACTAAAATATATGTTATCGGATGCGGGAGTGCCTACATAAAGGGATGTGCATTGTCACGTCCGTGGGTATCGGGCATCCGGGTCTGTGATCGGGGCCGAACCGAACTGAATGTCTTTATTTTGTCTATTTTGTATCGAGAGAGCCACTAGCATCTCTTCTTCCATTGAATAGTTGTATCCTAGGATTCTAGGTGGTGCTTCAATTGTAACTTGGGCTTCATTTGATGACTATATTCCCTATCCACGTCTGCATCCTCCCCGCACAATCCCGGCCGCCCTCTTTTGTTACAACCAACCCAGAACAATAGTTGTTGTTTTAACTACAGTTTTCCAATTCCAGCCTTCCTCTTTGCCTCCACCGCTGTTGCAGCTATCCACCTTTGTTGTTGCTGCTATATAGCCCTTTCTCTTTGCTATCGCTACCATTTCAATTTTACATTTTTGCTTCCATCACTCCAAACAGCCCTCCCACATTGGTCCCTGTTGTTTGCATACTATCTGGCACTAGGTAAACAACTGTCTTGCTGATTTTTGCTTGTCAACCGCCTTTTCCACCACTGTGTCACCTTCCAAAGCCTCGACAACCACTACCACCACCACCACCCCTGGATCTACCCCCTATCTTGAGTTTGCATTGTCAATCATTCCAATTTCAGATTTTCGCATGTTGGTTGTAATTTCCTGTTTAATTTCTGTAATAAAATTTGATTTTCCTTTTGTTGTTTGGTTAACTATGGTATCACTATGACTCTAGTTGTTCTCATAAAATAAGAAGATGGGCTCATTATCAAACAATATTCAATTGAAAATGGTATTTATTCTTATTTAGATAAAGGTCCTTTGCATTATTTCTATAGAGTCAAACAAATGACGAGATGGAGCACTAATTTTAGATGAGGAAACAAATTTTAAAGAACTAATTTTATATAGGACTAAAGAATAATTAAAATAGCTCCCTTCCAAAATTAGATCACTAAGGCTATATTTTGTTTTACAAAATTGAGGGAAATATCAAATGCACTTTACTTCTCAATGATATATTGAGTTTTTGTTTCTAATGTAATAATAGTAAATGATATCTAACTAAGAATGTGAGCAAATGTATAATTTCATTTACAGATCTTTATCAACGTTGGAAAGAAAATTGGGATCAAAATTTATAACCTTTAAACCTTCCTCCTTATATAAAAAACATAATAATAATAAAAAAAAATCAAATTTCTCCTCAATCGAAAGAGAAAGGAAAAAAATTTCAACGATTTCTCTCAATAAAAGAAGTGTTGGAAAACATATTTCAATTCAGTTCATTCATGATTTCATATTATTTCTTTTTCATTTCTTCTATTGTAATTATTTAAAGCCAAATGGGCGGAAAAAAGGCAACATTGAAAATATGTTTCACTAGTATTTTTTTGTAGCGAAGGTTTTTTAGTGGGATTTGGGGGTGTCGAGGTTGAAAAGACTACAAGGCAAAGTGGCGCAAGAGTGTGGCCTAGCTCGGTGAGCTGAAGTTGGAGAAGTTGTAAAATACATCACTATAACTCAACCAAGCTTTAATCGCCACAATTAGACTATCCCTTGGCCTGCAGTACAGCTGCCTATGTCAAGTAAATAAAATGAGCAAAATGAAACAGCCATAATGGTAACAAAGTGCTTAAAATAAGGAGAAAAAAATACAATTACATAATTCACCAAAAACAAAAAAAAATGGTGTTAAAAAACATTAATTAAAAAATTATTCAATCATATATAAGGTATTATTTTGTAACCTGAGAACGGAAAAGAATTGCGTTCATCAATAAGAAGCAATTGTGGTTAAATGTAACTAAAACTAAAACTCTTTGCAAGAAAGAATAATAACAATAAAAGATTCATGTTCTAATGCCAAGGTTAATCGATAAGGATGATATAAGAAAAATTACAACAATAGCCCTTAATGATAACGACTTCTCATAAACACCTAAAAATAATTATGATGCAGTAACTACAAGATGCTCAACTCTAAATAACCAGCAAAGGTCAATAACACTGTTAAAATTTTGGAAGTTATCACAAAAGATTTTTCTTACCTCTACAGTGAGTGTTTTGTGAGCTTTCCAATCTACAATGCCACCAAATTTTGACACAGCCTCCCTAACTGATTCAAATGGTGCTGCAATATGGACAAGCCTTTTATTTTCACTCAGTTTCTTGACGTGTTCAGTAGAAGCAGCTGATTCTGATCCTTTCATATGCATTGGGACTTGCACATGGGTGTGAAGATGGTGGCCGTTGAGTATAACAGGCGGCATGTCTTCTTCCTTATTTATCTCATTAGCAATAATTTTTTCATTGGTCTGATTATCGGCAAAGCCAGGCAGATTTCTACCTTCAAATTGACAGAAAATATTAGCATCCATTCCCTTTGAGGCATCACCTGCTGAGACACCGTGATATTCTTTAGGTGGCAAAGCAGCATCCGCGCCAATTCTAGCAGTAGAGTTAGCAAAGTTGCCGTTTATTACGGAGCTATCATCTTCATGTTGTGCTGGAAAACAAGCCCGTTTTTCTTTTGAAATTTGTGATATATCAGATGAGGGAGAACCAAGTAACTCTAATGATGAAGTCATGGCATTCTCCAGAGGAGAAACTGATCCGGTTAAGCTCTGTGATGAGGTGGGTAATTTTGACTCCAAGGGTAAGCCTATGGAATCAGAAGGTTCAACTACCGCTGCAGAACTTTTGGCCTGTACTTCCTGCTGTTGTTCTGCGTTAATTTTTACATCTGACATCAGAGAATAAGAAGGTTGAGGCTCAAGTTGAAGAGGTTCTTCTAGAGAAAGAGATGGTTCCATAAAAAGCATGTTCTCAGAAGTATGATACTCCAACATTATGCCAAATTAGCCAGAAATACCTGAGCCAAACGACAGCAGAAAAGATGACACTCCAGTTAAGTTACAATTACCAGAACTCAAAAGTCAAGTGAAGCACCTAAACAAGATGCATTTCCGCATTTGAATATTTCGTGAAGGCATCTAAAAAAACTGGCACAAAAAAAAAGTAATTAAAATACATGTTTATGAATATGTGTGAATTTGTATACATGTATGTATCTATGCATGTAAACAAATGATGCACGCACATATAGACAAATATATATATATATATATGTATATATATATAAAGATATATATATCTATGTATATACATATATATATGTATATATATACATATATATATGTATATAGATAGATATTTATGCAGACCACTTAAAAGTTAAGGCAAGTAATTAATTTTTTATATGTATTAAATTGATTTTTTATTAAATAAAGACTTTCATTATTGCTTAGATACATACTTTTAAAATTATATGGATGTTGTAATTTAAAACAATCACTGAAATGAATGAATGAAATGATAAAAAGGAAAAATAATTGTTCAATGATGTTAAAAATGAGAAAAATAAAAAGAAATGAAATGCAAAGGCTTAAGTCATTCAGAATTACCCCTAGATGGTACTGACAGAGGATGCAATGTACCCGTGCATTAAAAAGAAAATTAAAATGGTAATGCTGTATCTTTGAGTGAAAAATTTTGATGATACTTACGGGTATAATTTTGAGGATACCTTCGAAAATATCGGCAATTATGATATTACTTCTTAAAAATGTTTGAAAGGGTAAATATTTAAATTGAAATGGAAAGTGTTAAATTTAAAATGAGATCTTACAGTTTGATTAAGTATGAATTGCCTTTTTCTTTACAATTCACACATCGCATTTGCATATTAATTTAATGCATAATAACATTAAAATTATTCATTAAGTCGTGTAAACTTATTGTTTATATTAATTATTTCTTTCAGGTAAAACGCTAGATTGATATGTCTGAAATGAGAAATTTAATTTATAAGAGGAAGAGTATTGTTGATAGATAGTATTGTATTGTGGTTGTATTTATTGTAATGTTTACTTCTCAGTGGTGAAACTGTTTGCATGTTTGTTTGAGATGCTTTGCTTGCGGACTATGATGTTAATTTTTAATGACTTAATTTAGTGTAATGCATTTTGTGATTTCTTAATGACTGATTTGAAAATTATGAAAATCTATGAAAAGTAAATAAAATCATAATATCGTCCAGGTGCGCACTTCCTGACTTAGTTAATGCTAAGCTATTAGGTCGGGTCATGACAACTACTTTGTATCATTGTCAGTCAAAGGCAGCTGCACATTAAGTTTATCAGTCCAGTGCGTGGTGATCATTCGATAATATAATAAATGACAGAATTCACTATGCTTTTATGGAATGCACCCCAGTTGGTTTCAATGCTGAGTAGAAGTGCATAAGTTTTTGTATTGGCTGAAGGATATGGGTAAGCATCTGCTAATTCCACTTAGGATCGAGGATTGCTTTATTTTGGTGAAGAGAACTAGGAGGACTGAGCTAGATTTATAGGCTCCCCAGAGAATGAGGGACTCTCTGAAGAGAAGAATTCAAAGGGATCCAGATTTCCTCAAGGATCTCGGGCAGACAGTCCTTCCAGTCAAGAATTACAAGTGCTAAGAAAGCTAGATCAATAGTATTGACAGCCAAACTGAAGCCAGTATGCGTGACTAGTGTGGAAGGTTTAACAAGGGTGAGTGTCTTTCTGGAATCCACACGTGTTTTTGGTGCCACCAACTAGGACACATGACAAGAAATTTCCTTAGGTTAGGACATAGGGATCTATCATATTCTAGGGACAGTGTTCTACCACCTCAGAGAAGCTTTTGCAGACCGAGGGTAACTAAGTCTACAGGATCAATGGAAATTAAAAGTCGAACCCAACACAATGTTCAGCCCAGGGTTTATGCACTTGCACAGCAGGAAGCTAACAACTTCCCTGAAGTTACATAGGTATGTTTGGCCTTCAAGAAAGTTTAACCAAGTGCTCTTTTGATTATAATAAATTCATGTCATGCATTTGTAACATCATGTAAGAATTTAAATACATCAATAAATGAACCATAAATGTTCAATAGAATTGTTTTAATGTAATAGGTACCATATATCTTTAGAATAGACCAATAAAAATATTATTTGATGCGGAAGCATCACATTATTTTATAGCTGAGAAATTGATTAAAGTGATGCACTTGAATAACACTTTAATGTTTGTGACATTATCTGTTAGAATGTTAAATAGTACTTCTATGGAATTTAATCAAATGTGCAAGGTAAAACTAAAAATTGGTGGAAAAGATTTTAATGCAAAATTGATTGTATCATCCTTAGTGGAGTTAGAGGCTATTTTAGGCATATATTGGTTGTCTAAAAATATTGTCACAATTGATTACAATTAAAATACCGTTAAAATAAAAGTACCTGAGGAGGCAAAAGTCAAATTTTATGGTGATAGATGATCATATTCGATGATAATCACATATTTGAGTACCTTTAAATCATTAAACAATGAAAGTCGGGGTTTTCTGCCCCACATGAATGAAACTACTGAGTGAAGTAATTAAATGATATTTCGATGGTGAAGGCGTATCCAGAAGTTTTCCTTGATAATTTACCAGGAATATTAAGGGAAATCTATTTTAGTATTGAGTCATTGCCAAGTTCGAGCCAATATCTAAGCCACCATATAGAATGACAGTAAAAGAATTGTAGGAATATTAAATAAGGGGTTCATCAAGCCTAGCACCTCAAATTGAGAAGGTTCAATAAAATTTGTGAAGACGAACGAGAGTTTCACAATATGCATTGATAACAAAGTTGATGAAGCACAAAGTTAAAAACAAATATTCACTGACGAGGATTGATGGCTTGTTTGATCAATTAAGAATTTTTGTATTTTCAAAAATTGACCTTAGGTCAGACTATCACTAATAGAGGAAAAAAAAGGAAGATATCGCAGAAATAACTTTCAGGACCAAGATATGGGCACTATGAAATTGTGGTGACACCATTTAGATTGACTAAAACACACCAGTAGTTTTTATGGATATGATGAATATGACTTTCAAGTAGCTTTTGGGATACAATTATGATTGTATTCATAGATAATACCCCGGTGTAATCGAGAGATGAACTCAGCCATATAACTCATTTGCATGTTTTTCTGCAATTTTCGAAGAGAGCGAATTGTATGCTAATTTTTTTAAAAGTGAATTTTGGCTTACAAGTGTGGCTTGTCTTTGACATATTAACAGTAGAGATGACATATCTTTAGATCAGAATAAGATCAAAGTAATTGCAAAATGACCGAGTCCAATTACAGTTACTGAGGAAATGAGTTTTCTAGCTCTGACTGGTTATAATAGGAGATTAGTAGAAGAATTTTCTCAGATAAATATGTTTTTATCCAAGCTAACACAAAAATTAATAAAGTTTGATTGGACTAATCGAAGTGAAAAGTTGTTTCAGAAGTTGAAGTCATACGTTTGATTAGTTAATAAATCACATTTTTTTAAGACATTCATGCATAGCATTTGTCTGAATGTTGTATTAAAAATGGAGGGTTGCGTTAGGTAGTCGACAGCCAACGTAAAACTTGTCGAAAAAAATTGAGAATTGTGTGATAGAAAAGTACCGCTAAGACTGAAAGGAAAATTTTATAAGACGGTGGTGAGACCTGCAATGCTCTATGGATCTGAATGTTGGCCTTTAAAAGAGAAGCATAATAATAAGTTAAGTGTTGCCGAGATGAGAATGATTAGGTGGATGAGTGGCTTTACACTTAGAGACAAAATGCGAAATGAATATATTCGTGATAGGGTTGGTGTAGCTCCTGTGATAGACAAAATTAGAGAAAGTCGTCTTAGATGGTTTGGTCATATTAAACGTCGACCATTAGATGATCCGATTAGGAGAGTAGATGTTTTAAATTCGACTTGTGTTAAGAAAGGCAGAGGTAGACCTAGGAAGACTTGGGCTTATTGTATTAAAAATGATCTTAATTTACTAGAAATAAATGAAAATATGACACTAAATAGGACGCAATGGAGAAAAAGGATTCATGTAGCCGACCCCACGTAGTGGGATTAAGGCTTTGTTGTTGTTGTTGTTGTTGTTGATGCATAGCATTTGCATTTTGATTTTGATTTAATGCATAATAAGATTATAATTGCTCACTAAGTAGTGATAAATGTATTGTCAAAATTAATTATTTCTTTCAGAAAAAATTTGAGATGGATATGTCTAAAGGAGAAAGTTAATTTACGGGAGGATAAATACTGATACTAGGTAGTAGAATGTTTGTTATAGTTTTAATTTCTTATACCGTTTATTTTTGAAAAAATGTTGAATTGTTTTTAGTTTGATTGTGATATTGTTTTACTGTCAAACTATGTTATTGCTTTTGATAAATTTAATTACTGTTTAATGTACTTTGTGATGTTCTTATTAATGACTCTTTGTTATTAGAAGTTATGATGGTTTATTATATAAAAAATAAGGTTAATATTGTCCACCTATATTTCCTAACTTGATTAATTCTATGTTATCAAATGGGATTGGGACAGTACATGCCCTGGAACAGAGCGCTCGACAATGCAGCACCTAGGAGTGTCATTGTGCCCGACATAAGTTCAAGAAATTGAGTGTTTGACAATGCAACACCTGGAGGTCAATGCCCCTGCACCTGGTCGAGCACCGCTATGCCTTATCGTGGTGCCCCAATGCAGTAACCGAATTAAGCAGGTTGAGGCTATAAGTTTCAACTTCACTCCTGAATTTTGTGTGCATTGCATTCGACTTTGATTGTTCTCTTGTAAGGAAAATGATGAGTGTTCTTAAGTTCCAAAAAATGTGGAGAGGTTTGAATGTAGTGTAATTTGTACAATTCTCGTCATTTTTATAGTAAATTTCTTGGTATGGAGTGGCTACCTATTTGTTTACTGTTCTCGAATGTTTTATTGTTTTTTGGT